TTCCCTCTGTCTCTCATTTTGCTTCTGCTGCTCCTACTAAAACACACACTTCAGCTTAAATGAAAAGCAGTAAAAGACAACTTGCCTGATGTAATTTTAACCATCACCCCCTTTCTCCTCTATTTGCTTTCGTTAGATGAAATTTAAGTTCTTTTGCACAATCTTCCATAATGAAATTTTTTTTCTTGTGTTTCTGTTGAATGTTCATGATAGTTGTGATATAAGACAGGAGAAGACAGTAACAATGGTCTCTGTTCACTCTAAAAACCTGAAGTGCTGTAAGGCTACAGTGGATAGGAATATACAATGAGTATAGCTGTCTGTATCATTGCTGATTGTAACAGTTTTGCAGCTCTACTCTGTTAATCAAATTAATAACTGTTACCTGCAAGCTAGCATTAAGACAAAAATTAGGGGAGAAGTAGAAGTTCTTTCTCATGGCAGAGCTGCAGAGAATTTGGCTGTAGGTATTAATAGGTAAGCTATCATATTGTCTTTGAATTTAAAAGAGAGAAAAGTCACATTTCAAAATACTACTTTCATTGTATGAGATTGTTAGTTGTTAAAGGCACTAAATACAAGCTACAAATTGGTAGTGTAAAGTTTATTTTTCTTGGCTAAAATTTTTTTAGCCTCATACTTCTCTGCTTAGCTAAATTGTATAAATAGCAGATAAATATTTTTAATTTAAACAAGTAGGTGCCCCTCAGAAGCAGTGACAATACTAAAAATTACACTGTTCCTGTGTTTTAGTTCTGGACTAAAACCTTGCCAGAAAGGTGCCTCTTGAACATTTGCCCACTTTATAATCCAAATACCGGTTAAGGGATGAAAACTGCAGTGTCCTAGCAGTGCAGATTTACTGACATTGAGTTCAAAGGAGTCCAGAACCAGGAGGATGTGAACTGACCATGCCAGGGAGAAGCAGTGTAATGCAGAGCACAAGAAAAATCCAGAATTACTTTTTCCACAAATAAAGATATTATATTAGAGCATCAAACGGCATACTTCAATAAAGTAATTTTGTGACTTCAGTAGAGGGGGGTCGTTGACTTAAGGACAGGATTATTATCTGTTGCTATCACAACTCTGTTACATACAGTTAAACTGTGAGTCAAGGCAATGTCAGATAAATGTCAGATTAAATGTCAGTATGAAAATGTCTGAATAAAAATGTCAGATAAGACAAGAAAACATGTACTCCAAACTGGACACAAAAGGAACCTCTGATAATATAGATAGAGGAAATTATATTGCTTTGAAAATACACCAGGATGTTGATCTGATAAGAGGCTCTGGCAGGACCTTAATATGTGGTGGTTCTAGACAATTCATTTAAATTGTTTCTATTTCCATCTTCAGCTTAAAAAGTATGTCTTTTTTTCTGAAAGGATACTTGATGGACTGCAAAAGCAATGATTGTTTTTGAAAGTGTATTTGGAAGATCATTATATTATTATGAAGCCCTAGAGAGAATAGTTGCTAATTTGCTATTCCAGAGATTTGATATAAACTTCAAGTGTTTAGTTGCAAGAATGGAAATTGAAAAAAATTGCATTTATTCCATGGTAACATATGTATAATACATTCCAAGGTTGTGTATAAAATGCTTAGATATTTACTTTCCTGCTCCACATCATTGGATTAAGTTTTCTCATAAAGTCATAGGAGCTAAATATGTTAATTGTTATGTTGATTGTCACAGGCTTCTTGTTTTGAATTTTTTTTTTTTATTAAATACTTCTTTGTAATTTGTGTAAGTCTTCACACTGCCAAAGAATAATGAAGGCTTTGGCATGCTTGAAGGTAACTGCAAATAGCAGATGATTTGAGGAGAAAGTTGGAACAGTTATTTTGTTAATGTTTTGCTTTCAGTGATTTATGGGTATGAATTAACTTATGTCAATGTCCATATAGCTGTATGTTAAGTGATATTCATAAAACAGAGAGAAAAAAGTAGCACTTTTATTTTAGACCGTGTACAGTTATAAACCATCAATTATAAACCAGGCAGGTATAAACCATCAATTAAAGATCTGGCAGTGACCACAAATCCCCCACTTTGATACATTGAATTTGTGGACCAACAAAACTTCCCTAAAGTTTGCTTATATTTCTATTTTTAATAGTATTTTCCAATTTGGATGGCCCATAAACATTGTCATGGAGGTTTTACAGGCTAGATAAATTTCTTATTTCTCCAGAACAGTGGATATTCTGATTAATTACTTCTTTGTTTTTCAAGATCTGAGCTGAATGACAGTTGCATAATCATTCATTTTTGCTTTCCTCTGTTGTCTTTGATAAAATTATTCCTTTTCTGATTTCTCATTAGTGCTTTGATTAATAGAGTTTTCTTCTTATTTTTATTGTTTGTTTGCTTTAAAAAAACATAGTGAAACATATGCCATAATGGGAAAGAAAGTTTCATTGGTCACTAGGAAATCATCCAGTTTGATTTTGAAGGCTTGACATGATGCTATTTCTCCATCACATGTTAAAGTTTCCACAATACTTTCTGCCAGCAAGGTGCCTGTGGCTCTACTATACTCATCAAAATTGGCTCCTGACCTGGGTTAACGAGCAATGGCTTTTATTTTATTTGGCTTTCAATCAAATCTTGCAAACTTTGGTGGTTAAACTCATTTACAGGTATGAGTTTGTATGCTGCCAAACTGTTTTCACCAGACACAATAGTATGTTAGGAATTAAGTCAAAATCTGCTTTCCTGGGCCATGTTGGCCTAATTACAGTAGAGTATGCTTTAATGAGGATTCTTCTGAGCTGCCTCTGCCTGATATGGCAAACAGCCCAGAGGCAAATTTCAGATCCCAGTGTCAAGAACTGATTCATTGCTTGTCTGCAATTAACAGCTGGGCTTCAGGGTCTAGATAGAAAGCTAGAATAAGACTCTCTTTCAGCTGATGTATTGAACCCAGAATTGTTGACCTTCTCCAATGCAGATGTAGATAGGCCAAATATAATAGATTTGTCACATAGATGTTGCACAGATTATGGAGAAATAAGACAGTTGTGATTAAATTTACTCAAAGGCTTTAAATTGCACATCACATAATGGTCAGAGGCCATTTGGATGGCATTTCATAAGGACAGAAAAACAAAGACATTCAGGAGTAAAACAGATCTTTTTGTCTGAGAGTGATAAGAATGATAAGTCACTGGTTTTATAAATTAACTTTGCCATCTTTATTTTAATTGTTTATACCTGTAAGAGCTAATTCTAAGCCTGCTTTGTTTGTGTGTCCCCCTTCCTTCTCATCTAATGTTCTGCACTTTCCAAAACACAAAAAGAAAAATTGTCATAGGATGGCATATGAAATATTATTGCTAGTTATAATATGGAGGAAAAAAAATGCAAATTCTGCTCCTAGAAACTCTATTGCTCATCCAAAACAATATTTTTGCCTCGGGAAAGAAGGAGGGAACACAACAGGAAACCTTCTTTCATAAATCTGCTTTGTTTAATCAAAAATATCATTGTTCTTGGCTAGCTCTCAAGGCAAATGTCATGGCATCCCATCATGCTGGCCGCAGGAACAGGCTTGTATCCCTGGTAGACATTGTTACACAGCCTGACCTAAATACAGCGAAGAACTGAAGAGTGGCCTGGCTGTGAGTTGGGAGATTTTGTTTGAGAGACTCTTCTCAGATATACCAATCTACTTTTTTTGGAAGAAATTTGCCAAGTTGTAATACAGAATAATATATATTTGCCTCCTGTCTAATTCCAAGGATAGCAGCCAATTTGAATCTTGTTTTGGAAGACTTTTGTCCTCTGTCATTTGTAGATGTTTGAATGTGTAGTGTATGGAACAATGTTTAGCACCCAGCATCTTTCAGTCTTTCTTTGATACTACTGTTTCAAACATGCATGTTCTCTTCCATTAAATAGCTAAAGTTCAAGTGGTTTAAATCTTATTTTTTCATACTAGAGAACAGCATTACTCACATACCAGAAGGCTAAGTAATGTCTGGGATTTATTAAATCATTCAGCAAAGTTGACCACAGACAGTTGCATATAGAACAAGTGCTGGAAGAAAATAATCTATGATGATGTTCATTATAATATAACACACACAGACTGAGAGCCAAATAATTGGTATCATTTCTGTCTCTACAATTATTATATTTCTTTTTAAAACTTTAACTAGCTTGACAGTTTTGATTATAGAGGGGTTTAAGCACAGAGGAAATATGTAGGGAAATGTTAATTTGACATCTTGGTACAGCAGCTATGGGCTTTAACAAGATGAATATTTATTTGTGACTTTAATGAATAGGTAACTTCTACTGCCAAGTTACTGTTGTTGCACACTTTTAAAAATCTTACATTCCAAGTGTATTTGCAAAATTCTATTGCTGTTTTATTTGGCAAAAAGAACGTTATTGAAGCTGAAATTGGAACAGGGCAGTTTTTTGCATCTGTTCCTAGTATTCCAAACACATACAAGTATTTGCCAATTTATGAACCTTTCATAGATAAAGTGCTACTTGAGAAAAATGCAAAAATAATAAAATTAATGTTACTGATCAGTCAATGCTAACATATAGTGTCAGAATAAATGAACAGGTGTTCTTTGGAATTTTAGGCCCTTACTACTTTCTAAACATTTAGTTCATTTTAAAACGAGTATCCAAAAATTGAGCAAAGGCAAAAAGAAATAATTATTTCCTGCACAAAACTATAATCTGAAATTTCTTTGCTGTTAACTATTATGAGCAAAAGAACATAAAACAAAATAATTATGAAAATTCCACAATAAAAGAGAAAACTCATGCAAACTTATTTCTGTTACACTGAATCCTCTTGGTTTGATTGGGGGTTTTGGTTTCTATTATGTTACAGCCCAGAGAAAATTTTAAACTTTGCTTTGCCTTATTTTAATTGTGTTGCTTGCACATAAAAGGATATTTGTTGTGTGGATTAAGCGGTTTATGAACAGGATTGGATAACATAATTATGTTTCCATTTTTTTAGAAAACTGTGGGATGTATTTCCCAGAAGTCAAAAATCATCCAGACAAATATTTACAAAGATGTCCCGAGTCTGTAAAAAAGTGGCTGAAACAACTGAAGAATGCTGGGAAGATTCTGCTGTTAATTACCAGTTCTCACAGTGACTACTGCAGGCTTCTGTGTGAACATGTTCTTGGGTAAGTGCAAAGTCCATTTCAAATTATATCTGCCCAACAGCAACTGGAGATAAGCCTGAGTTATTGGGAAGCTAATTTGCATTTTGTTTATGTATGGTGAATTATTTGCTTCCGAGTTTTCTGCTGGGCCCCTCTCTGGTAGGGTGTTACAGGGTACTTGAGACAAAGTAGTCCATCTGTGAGCCTGTGAGCTGTATCTGACCCACAGCTCACTTACAACCTTCATCCTTTTGGAGGCATCGTGATGGGATTGAAGATGCCAGGGAATTATCTTTCAGGTCAATATCCTATACACTGTCTCGTTCCTAATTTTATTGTAAACTTTTGCTAGAGTCTCTTATTTAAGTCACTTCCTTTCTTGCTTCTCCAGCAGTGAATCAACTAGTAGTATACAACTAGCATTTCCTTGCAGTAAATCTGCAGGAAAATCTTACCAGTACTTTTTCCCATTAGTGGTTTCCAAAAGATGGCTGTGCATGAGAAATGAGCTTCATCACAGCAGCAAAGGTAAAAGAGGCAGTTCATTGCACCTGGCAACTGGTTGAGGTTGTTGTTGCTGATCACAACAGCTGTTTTTAGCATAACATTATGAACATGGCTGGTCAAGTCAAATTCAGTGAAATTCAGCAGAACTATCACTTACCTAGAAAAATTAATTAATCAGTGATGCAAATAGTGAGGTGGGTGACAGAGTGCAACTGTTAATTTATTACTAATTTAAGAAATAAAGTAGTTCAATGTGAGGCTACCTTGGCTCTCAGGATATGCCAGGGAACAGCAGAATGAATACAACACTGTAGGAAAATCACGGGTAAGGTAAACGACAGATCTACCTTCCAAAACCAGTCCTGCCAGTATCGCTTCTCTTTTGTATTCTCTAGGCTAATTGTAAAATGAAACATCAACTGTGCCAGTTCTCACTGCTTTGGATGAACATTATACTTGCTTTTTTGAGGGGCAAATCTATCTCCTGGCAAAATTCTCCTTTATGAGCAAGATGTCTGTGAATTAACTCCTTTGTGTAGATCTGTCTAGTTATTTCCTAAATGAAAATTTGGTATACAAGTAAATTCTTGGCCACATACAATGATTTTGGCTTTCTGTTCCTTGGTGAATAGTGTTCAGCTGTTTAAGGTAGCTGTAGAAAGACTGCTGGAAGACAGTAAGCAAGAAATCAGAAACAACCAGTTGCCTTTCAAAACACCAAAAGAGATATCCTGCTAGAATGATTCTGCATCACTCTCTCTTTCCACAAAAGTGTAGAATGTTCTACAGTATTTATTACAATCATATTTTCCAGCGATTCATGCAGTGTGGCTTCCTAGAGTAGCTTTTGGAGAATTGAGTACTCCACTGTCCATTAGACTTTAGTGAAGTGGGGTTATTTTCCTGAAAATCTAAACTTTTTATTGGTTTTGTTTGTTCTATGCCTGTCATATCACACAAAAAGACTCTACATATCTGTGCTGCTTTTTGCTGTACTGGAATATAGTTTAGGTTCACACCTATTATCTCTGCCTTTACCTTTATTTGACCAGGCTAACTGGATTTTATTCTTGGCATCAACACTGCATTTTATTCTTGATATCAACACTTATGAATTACACCTACGCAGTCCTTTATTAATTTCTGTTCCTACTCCTTTCAGTTAATCAATATGATAATGAGAAGCCCAAAATTGTATAGTATGAAATAAAAAAAAACATAATTATAAAGATGAAAAACAGAGATGCATGTAAAATTTTAACTTCTTACTCCTTAAATCTTTACCTTGTAACTGTTTACTTTTTTGCACTTTATTAAAGAAGCTCCTTTTTTGGCGAAGAAATTATCGTCTTCATAAAACCTGTGCTGGGAAATTCACGCTTAAGTGTATCATTTACCATTTCATGAGCAAAATATCCCAGTTGTGCTCATCTGAGCAAATTGTCCTTAACTAGAACACATTTTGGTAGGAAGAGGAAGTATGAGAAAAAACTTCATTTTGAGATAAAATGAGACTTGTTTCCCAGCCAGAGTACAGACATACTGCTGGGATCAGTATATAAGACGAGTAAACCTTAAAAAGTAAGTGCCAGTTCATTCACACAGCAGCTTCATGGTGTGACTTTTCAGTCTTACGGACCATGAGGATGCTGCACAGTTAACTCAAGGTTTAAGTGTTGGCAGGAGCACACCTAAAGATAAGTCAATCATCACATAGTCACTGAAGCCAAGTGTATTTCACATTTTCAGGAATGCTAGCCACCTAAAAGTGAGGAACTTCTTGAAGCTGGTCATTTTGTTTCCATCTGTGGTTAGTGGAGAGAAACCACTGGGCATTATCCTTGGCAATTCATTCTGCATTGTAGAATTATGTCGGAAATAAGTGGGATGAATTACCTTTAAAGAATGTGAATGTTTCTCCATGGGCTCTGTCTGTGGTGTCAACTACTATCTGAATTTAGAGTGCAATTTTTAGGAGGTAAAAGTTACGATAGGTGTGTGAGATACATACTGCCCACTGTGCTGGCTATTTACTGTAACCACAGGCCATTCTACCAATCATAGGCAGCAAGTGGAACAGATTTGCTTTAAATATAGTGTTAAATAATAAAGTAACACAAATTCTCTCATAAAAACAGTAGCTTCGTACATGAGATTGAATATATTGTTTAAAAAAAGGCCACAGATAAAACATCTCCTCACACATAGCAGTTTTTCAACAGAGCAATAAAAAGTTACCAATTCTTGTGTTTTGTTCAATTTTTCAAAAGTCTGTTTTGTTCAATTTTTTTTATACAAAGCACTCATTTTTCCCACAAATCACAGAGAATCACAGAGTCGTTTAGGTTGGAAAAGACCTTTAAAATCATTGAGTCCAAGCATTAACCAAGCACCTCTGTGTTCCCCACTAAGCCATATCACCAAATGCTACTCCATACATTATTTGAATGCTTCCAGGGATGGTGACTCCACCACCACCCTAGGCAGACTGTTTCAATGCCTGACCACCCCTTCTGTGAAGAAATATTTCATAATATCAAATCTAAACCTGCTCTGGTGCAACTTGAGGCCATTTCCTCTCATCCTCTCACTTGGTAATTGTTATTTGTTGTACTGTGGAAATGCTTACTTTGTTTTGCAAATTCAAGCTTAATTTACCTGTGGATGGATTATTTGCATCAGATGCTAATTTGAAAAGTTTATCTCTGTTGATACTTTTCACCTGAAATAAGAACCTCCCCCCCCGCTACATTTGCTCAGCATCTGGAATCTTCCACATGGAAGCAAATTTTAAAAACACATAATTGTAATATTTGATACTGCTTCTTTTAAAAAGGCAAAGGTTTACATATGGTCACAAATGGAGAAAAATTAGACAAAACTAAAGTTTCATTAGAGAAAGGAAATTTAAATTACTTTTATTTCAAGGCTAGAATGTAATTTGGAGTACAACCCAAAAGCTGTCTCTCACAGGGAGAGCATTCAGTTTTTGATATCTCAGTCCCATGGAAGATCATTAATTATTTGAAAGTGATATAGTTAACTGGTTTACTTCCAGCAAACATCCTCTACTGTTGATAACATTTCAGTGCCTGTGTCCATCCTGGACTTGCCATCTGTGATTTCTTTGTTCCATGCAAGAGTATCCGTCATTTTTTGGATGTTGCAGGCAATGAAGTCACCTAAGCAATGAAATATTTCTAATAAAATAAAGTACATCATAGATGAGGAATGTTTTCTTATATATCATGCTGACACATTCAAACCCATTTAAACTGATGGGATTTCCACAGTTCAGAAAACAGTCTGTATATATGGACCCAATGATCTTCAAAAAATCTGAGTTTAGTTGTGGGATACAGCTGGCAGATGAAGACTTGAAGCTGGTCGCTGTTTATTTGTAGTCAAACGTTCTCCCTGGAACCAGCAGGGCGAGTGCAGTGAGAACAGCCAGCAGAGTCTGAAGAGGGAATTCAGCTATCAAAATGATGTTTCAGTTTTGGAATGTGTGAAATTACAGTCTAGTTTTCCTTGGAGGTAAATTAGATCTCTGTTGTCTGCCAGGGGCATCTTAGGGCTGTGTATACCTTCAGTATGGATACCAACAGTATGAGCACCTGTGTTTAAGTGTCTTCAGTTACTTCTTACCCCCTACTTCAGATATTCTTCTTTGAAAAGAAAATCCCTCATTTACAACTTTCTGTCTGTGGACAGAAAGTTGTAAATGTTGTGCATATGTTGCCATCTCAGATTGAAAAAAATGTCATCTGTTACATGTTCTCCTGTGTTCAAGGAACATCTTTTTACAAATAATGAGTGTTCCCAAAGACCACTCACTGTGAGTTTGACTCTCTTTTGACAACCTCAGGAAAAGAAGAATAATAGTGACGTTGAACAAGCATTGAAAAAAAAGTGACAGAAGCAAGTGCCTTAAAGAAATTCTCTGATATTTTCTTAAGTCTTACAGAGTATTTCATGACATCCAAAGTAATTTTTTAGTTTGATTAATCACATTTACTTTACTTCCTAGGAATGATTTCGAAGAGTATTTTGACATTTTGATCACAAATGCTTTGAAACCTGGTTTCTTCTCCCATACACCAAACCAAAGACCTTTCCGAACTCTTGGTAAGTTGCAGCTGTAAGTCCCTTCTCATCTGCTTACCATTATGGAAAAATGGAAAAAAAAAAAAAAATTAAGGCAACTGAACATTGGCAGTGGGGTGGGAATGGATTAAAATTCTGTTAAGATGGTGGAGCACTGAGAAATTAAAAAATACAGTGTTGAGGACAGAAGGCAGAGCTCTGATAGTAATTAAAATTACATTGGGCCTCAGATATTTCATCATTAACGAAAAAGAATCTTTATTGTGCTTACAGGGTCCTGCACAGGAAACAAAATTTAGTTCTGGGACAAAACAAAGCAGAAATGTTTAAAAAAATTAAAGGAAATTAGGAGAACTGTACAAATAAAATTGTAAAGCTGAAGGAATGAATTTGTGATGGAAATCTGACAGCATTAAGTGTGTTTATTTTGGCTAAATAATGACAGAGCAGGTGAAAAGGAAATGCCCCTGTAGTCACTTAATTTAATTAAAACAATCTGAAACACTTGGCAATGTTATCCATTAGGTAATTAAGGTTATAACACAGGAGGTTTATAAGAGCACTGTTCATACAAATAACAATGTAACATTGCTGAAGACAGTTAATTTTCCATATTTTGGTAAATACCTTTATGGTTAAGTTACCCGAAAATTATAGCCAAAATAACTTAAGTCAGCATACACTGAGCCATAGTTCATCATTTTATGACAAGAAAGTCACCAAAAAGAAATATTGCTTGCGGAACTTCTACAGTAAAACTGAAACAAGCAACAAAAATACAAATTGAAACTATATTTTAATGTTTCACATATTTATACAGGAAAATAAGAAATATCTTAGGTGTGATTTTTAATGGATATTTCAAATAGTTGCCAAGTTGACAATTTGAGAAAAAAGTAATCTCAGAAGGGAAATTGAAACTATTTGTATGAAAGGAGAGAGGGAAGTAAAATCGTAAAGGGTGAAAAAGGCTTAGTCCTGCAACCATTTGATTTAGTTTTATATAAGGCAAAATGAAAATAAAATGTAATTCACTTTGGATTTCTTTTAAACAACCTGATTAGCCTGACTTCCTGAGGAAATTCTGCTGTGTCCCTCTGTCAGTAATCCAGCCAGCAGCTTTTGGACCTGTTGGACAGTTTCAGTAAATTTAATAGACAGCCAAAAAGCTCCAGGATACTTTGATGAGGTGGGATTTTTTTGTGCAAAAAATGGGCAGAATAGAGGGAGAAGACCAAATTACTGCTCCACTGATAATATGTAGCATTGGCATAATCACCACATTGAATTGTAAGGACCAATTTTCCTGAAGATGTTTCTTTCTCTGCTTTCAAACAGGAACAGCTTTACCTGGAGTCCTATTACTGACTTAGTGGTTTTCATTCGGTTTACATCTTGGCAATGCAAAGGAGCTCAAATGTCAGTCAATCACTCATTATGTTAGTACATTATTAATCCAAAGTAAAATATAGCTTCTGTTCTGGACACTTCACTATTTAAATAGATAAGGGACACAAATGTAACTAAAGCAGTCATCAGATAAAGAATTTGTTGGAACTACTAACCTGGGAGTGTATTTTTTTTTCTTAATTTGTTTGTATTCAAATGACAGTAACTGGTTTCTTCTGAAAGACCAGCCACAACATTCAAAGCAAAGATTTATACACACAGGATGACTTTTTAGACACGTGTTTAAAAGTATCACAGAGCTTGTTTAAGATAAGTACATGAAGTTTAAACCATAAAAGTAGGAGCATTTATATGAGAAAATTTGCAAAATAATAATACATTTCTATAATGTTTATTTTGCTGCCCTACCTCTGTATTCCTCACAGGAGCTGAAACAGTATATGGTGAAGCTTCTAACACATTGATGGGAAGCAGTTTTCCAGTTTTCATAATTTTTAAAGCTTTCTTTCATATCAGAACCACTGAAAATTCAAAATTTCAGTTTCTAGTTTTCCTGCTGGCTCTACAGGCTTCAGGCAGAAGAGTTTGGCCACTGTGCTGCAGATCAGGGAGACAAAATTTTCATATTTTTCCTATGAAAAATTAAAAATCTATAAGTGGGCATCGTAGTAAATATTTTCTTTAAGCACAGAGACTAAACTTTTGCTATGGTAATTTGGGAAAAAAAAAACTTGTTCTAGGAAGAAATGTGTTCAAAAAATGAACTGAAGTAACTGCTTGTCATTGTTACCCATTTCTTCAGGTCTGAGTCTCAGCCATGTTCTTCCAATGATTAGGTCTGAGCTGCAATACATTCCTAGTGATACCATATTTCATAGTACTATAAATGGACTTAAGGATAAGGCAGAAAATATGGAATGGGTTCCTAATTTCAAATATCCCAAGTGTTGCATTGTGTACTGGAGCTAAATGTTATTTATAACAGGGCTTCTGCTGCAGATTTACTGAAGGAAAGGTTTTGAAGTTTACTAATGAGAAGAAGAAATTCTTTTCAGTGAATAAGTTCAAAAGGCAATTGTATTCAGTAGGCATTTGAAAGAGAAAAAGAAACAGGACAAGATGACAAAGGAGGCATTGTCTGGAAATGTGATATTGGGTAACAGCTCTGAAAAAGTGGTTTTTTCAGTAGACAAGTAATTTTAGAGCTGATCCATCTAGAAACCATGAAAAATTATTTTAATTGGTCAATTAAGATTGCATCATTATTTCATTTTCATTTCAAGATATACCATTTAAAGAAACTAAAACACTGTTTGAAAGCCTAAAAGATTTGTGTGGCTGGGGCACTGAAAAGCACAATAATTATTTATTTAATTCTGTATAATTTTCTTTCAAAGTACCATTCTGTTAAGTGAAAGAACAGTTTATATGTGTCTTTACAGATTTTAGACAGCTACACTTATTTTGATCTGGCAAAATGGTTTTATCATTAGGGGTAACTTATGTAGCAAAGGATATATTTTGTAAAAACAGTGCTGTACATAAAAATACCCCCAGGCTTTGCTACCACAATATGAATGCTCCATAACTTACTTGTTATTCATGAGGTTGTATGTTCTTTTACATAGGGAAATTCATCTCATGGTTCTTGAAAGTACTAATAATATCTTGATCTGCAAGGCCTAAGGATCAGGTTGGAAATGTTTGCATAAATCCTTTGTTGACAAGGCAGGATTTTCTTTGCTTTCAACAGCTACATCCAGCTTAAAATAATTTCTCATTCCATGAAGGGCTTGAAGGAATATAAATAGAAAAGACAGTTGTGAATTATATGATAATCTGCAGTACATGAAGATTCCTGTAACATTTGACAACAGAGCTTTCCCTTTATCACATCACTTTTTAATGCATATCAAATTACTAGCCTGACTGCCAGTCCTGATCATTGCCAGATATATCTTTTGCAATCCAAAATTATAATTGAAATGCTAAAGATAACCCTTAATTCCCTGGAAGCCTTCTCTAAGTCTGTATTCACAGGGAAGTCTGCTTGGTCTTAAAGAAGGCTTATATATCTTTTATTTTCAGCTCAAACACAGCTGGCTTTTCTGATCTGGTTTGGTTTTGGTTTGTTTTGTTTTTTTTTTTTTTTTTCCATAAATTTGAAATGTATTGCTGACTGTTCAGTGTCTGAATTTAAAACACACACTTAAAAAATTATGTATAACCTCATGTGTATGTATCTGTACAGGCTGAAAACAATCCTATGGATGGAGTGCCAGTGAATGCCACATTTCAAAGCCTGTTTTCAGTTACACTTCCAGGCTCTCTTCCTTCATCCTGAACTTGAATTTTTGCCCATCTTAAGGTGCCTCTGCTGCAGAATGTAGCTTCCCATTTAAGAAACTTTAAGTCTTCTAATTTTTTATGATTTTCTGGTAACTGCTACTTTAACAATTCGGTGTAGAAGCTTTTTCCCTCCTTTATTCATTCTTGTCCACTCTTCTAAAAATACGATAAAATTCTATAAGGTGAAAGGACCAATTAGAAAAGAAAATAAGGAAACAGGAAAAAAAACACCATACCTCTGGGCTGAAGGCCAGCTTTGTTTATTGGGGACTACAAGACTTCAGAAGGTGGTGATCCCATGTCTGCTACTTGAGTTTTCTTTTGCCATCTTTTGTGAGCAACTGGGTTTGACTACACCTGAGATGGGCTAGGGGATCCAGCTGGTGGGAAGCTGGGGCATGGGAGGAGGGAGGCAGAGTAAGAGCAGAGCAGTACATGGAAGCATAGAGAGCAAAGAGATTTCACACTGATGGGGTTTTCTGAATTTCATGTCTTTGCTTTTTGACTTCTACTGTTGCCTCAAGGAGGACTTTTGCAATAAAGCTAGTGTGTCAAACATAGCTTAAAATTATGTACCTGTGTACTGGGCTGACTGGGGCTCTCAGCTGGCCCTCCAACCACAGCAGGGGATGCAGCACTGTCCTCCCACAGGACTCAGAGCTCAGGAAGCCTTTTGCAGGGAAGCCCACAAAGGGCCTCATCTCACATCTCTCAGGAGACACAAGCAGAATAACAACAGCACCAGCAAAGGGCACCTGTGTAATCTTTTCCTCCCACGGTTCAGGGTGTTCCTTTATGTAATGCAGCTGTGCTTGTTGCCATTCTTCTGGAGATGGTGCCTCTTCATATCAGTCTGTGTGGATATGTTCTGTAACAGGAGGCCACATAATGATTCATTTTTGCTGGGAGCTTGTTCCAGAGTGCCATGTAAAGGCTGCACATTATTCAAGAGCTATCAAGTCTATAACCATTTCCCATATCTCTTCTACAAGATGCCTTTATATTGTTATAACATCCCACAGTGCTATATGGCCCTTAAAATCCCTTTTTAAGGGAAATGCTGTTTAGCAATTCTTTAAAGTGTATTGGCACTGTTTTTCATGTGCTTTCCAGCTATTTAGGAAAGAAAAGGGATTATAACTAGCAAGTAATGGTATTTTGTACTCTAGTTTTCAAAATTCAATCTTTTTGTACCTCACAGGATCATGACATTAAAAGTCTCTTTCTGCTCTAATATCAGAAATATGTTCTGTAATAAGCTG